TGACCCCCGCCTTCTTGGGAAGCGCACGGAAGGGGGTATATAGGGCCCTAGGGCCTCGGATCTTACTCCCCTTTCTCTCTTTCCTTCCGACCTCAACTAGTGGCCTTCCAGTGCACCCAGAAATTACATGGAGCGCCAAGGGCACAGAAGGGTGAATTGTGCAGGTCAGTTTGGGGGGGAGTGGAACGTGGGAAAGGCTCGTTAGTGGGAGGAGGGCGCAGAGCTGGTGGGGCCCTGTTCCCTAGCAGGACCCGCTCTATCGCTCTCTTCCCCACCTCTAACCCCTCGCCTTTCTCTGCTGGGAGCGTGAGCGCCGTGGAGAGCTCGGAGCCGAGCACAGACTCCGCACAGCAGGCAAAGTAGAGAGGGCGGACTGAGCCCTGCGGGAGAGCGTTGTAGCCTGGGGCCGGGGAGGCGCGGAGGCCTCCTACCTGAGTTGAGGCTGCCCTCCTTGAGGCTGGAGGAGCTCAGGTAGTCGTCCTTGCACACGAACTTGTTCTCGTCGATGACGTAGAGCTCCTCGCCGGTGGACAGCTGCTTGTTACACACCATGCAGGTGAAGCAGTTGAGGTGGAAGACTTTGCTCCGAGCCTTGCGCACCAGGTCGCTGGGAGAGATGCCTTGCGCGCAGCCAGCGCACTTGGTGCCAAAGCGCCTGTGGACACAAGGCACCTGTCCCGGTGAGGTGGGCTCTGGGCCCAGTTCTCTCCAGCCCCTGACCTCTTCCCATCCACCCTGGCTTCCAAGCTGCCTGCATATCCACATCTGTCAAAAAATAATAATAAAAGCTCCCATCCTGCCCTTCCTGGCCAGAGCTGACGCGGGACCAACGTTCTGTATGGTATTTGGGACTGGGACTGCTCTGCTTCTCTCAGCTGGCTTTACTGGGACTCTCCTGGTCTGGGAAGGGTGCAATCTTCAGCCAAATGGAGAGCCCCAAGCACCCCACTGTCTTCCTCCTCACTCCCCCTGCCCCCACTCCTGTCCCTGCCAGACCGGCCTGGGCTGCTCAAGGCAAACTCAGCTCTCAGTTCCACGAAGGACTGAAAGCCGTAAAGCCACGCGGGATGGGATCGGACCTCCTGTTTGGGCCTCCGAAATCCTTTATAGGGCCAGTCTGCCTATCTGCCTGGTCCTTGCAGGGTGGTAGTGTATTTGAGCAGGAAAGGGGGGAACCTTCCTCTGAATTCCAGTGCTATTCCCACTTTGGGACCTGCTGGAACTAGCCAGCGGGACCCTAGACGGGTAGACTCTTTT